ATTAATTTATATTTGATCTGAGCACTCTGATGCACAGTAGAAAAAATCTGTATATAAAAGATTATATCTGTGCAATTATACGTACCATATGTCTCTTTCAACAAACTACTGATTTATTAATATCGATATATTATTGTTAGTATAATATAGAATTGCTATATTGTAACATTAAAAAAACTTTTCAAAATATATTAATAAGCAAAGATAACCACACCTTGATCTTGCAATAATTTTTTCACCATCACATTGAAGTCCCATTTTGTTTAATGTAACATTTGGCTTAAACAAATTCCTTCAGTCTCAGGCTGCCACTATTAGTCCGCCCACATGAATCATATTAATTCATGTATAGCTTTGCTGTTTAGTAATTTCACACAAAGCCTTTAGAATTAAATTCATATCTGAGCTGATATCCACTGCTAAGACCATAAATCTCTTATACCCCACTTAGGTCTCAAACAGCGCATAAAGATTTGTGCCAAACCTCTGCTTTGTGGTGAACTTCTCTTTTAGCGAACACTTCTCTCAACTATAGCATAACACAAGTGATCTGGCTCCTTCTAGGTGGCTTAAACTACAAGGTCTACAGAAGACATGACTTCATGCTACTGAACGCTTTTAATAGTTTAGATCTAGGTGAAGCTTAATTAGCATCTGAAAGTTAATACAAATATTAATCTGTACATAAAACATTATCCCCAATATACTAGTGACAGCACTTTTATAAGGCAGACACAAGCCAAGATTCAAATATCTGAGAAAAGGTGGAAACTACCAGAACCTAATTTAGGGCAAGGTTATAGAGCAGCAACAACGGTCAGCAGGATTAGGCCCTTTCTCTGTGAAAATTAACAGGAACTGAAAGAAAGATGCGATACAGCAGGCTAGCTAGTATGACATAGAATCCACCACCTGTCAGTACAGAGCAAGGACTGCAGAGGTGCAGATATTTCAGGTCTCATGCTGGCAGATAAGAAAGCATTTGGCAAGTTCTTGCCTTTCTGAGGATTTTGTCAATCTTCATTACAGTAGCTGAACAACTGCACACACAGTGATGGATGCTTGCTTCCTTGCCTGCAGATTATCTTGCAAATACAAGATACAAATGGAAATGTGCAAACCACAGAACAAAAGTATCAATCTTTTAAACAAAAGACAAAATATAATATTCACTCTCAGTTTAGATCCTACTGAAAAAAATCAAGACTCATGTTGTCCTGCCTTTTGCTTAAACTTTATTCCCCAAGAAAACTTTTGCTTGTCTTCTCTTTCATTAGTAATTCTGGACTGGAAGCAGGACTGGAGTTAGTGCACACATAAAAAGAAGGTGCAAATTATATTGAATTGTTATGGCTAAGGACTTATTTACAAAGCAGAGAATCCACACATGTAATTCTAGGGCATATGTGAAGATAAGAATATTATTTCAGAGAGTGCGTAACACTTCTGTTAGGACATCCCAAAAGGCAGGTGAGTCAGCAGGTTTGGAAAGTGCATGCATGTGTTTATTAGGGGAAGAGAAAGCATAAGTAATATTCTTGACTTTTGACTTTTTAAAGCAGACAAGCAGAATTCACTTGACAATTAATTTGCACTCTTGCAAAAGAACGGTCTGAGAGACTGCAGTTATTTTCCAGTGAAAATGAGGACTTACTGCAGTGTCTTCTGTGCCAGTACGCAGGACAGCAGCAAACAAGAAATGTTTAGGGTTGTTTTTTTTTTCCTTTTCATGTTTTTACTGCTGTGTTCTATAACACAGACAATAAACTGCATTGTAATACTTATCTTTTTTTATTAGATACACTTTGAATAACACTTCAACATCTATTCCTAACAAATGAGTGTGACTCCCAACTGTAGATTTATACATTTAACCTTCCGTTGTTAGTAGGAAATACTAAGTATTTTTTTCATATTCATAGCATTAATAGCCTTTAGAGTTGGAGTGAGGATATAATGTGAAGACTCATAACTGAAAAAAGAGAGTTCTGGATAAACAGATTTAGAAAACAACAAAAACAACAAATTAATGCTCCAAGGCTTTTAGAATATATGACAATCATGTACAAGATTAGCTGCTTCTATAAAAGCTATCCCTAAAATAAAGATACAAAACTAAATTATTAAAATAAAATTAATTTCAGTTACTGATTTGTCCTCTGGGAAGTCTGTTTGCTGACTAATCTTTTTTTATTTTTTAGTATATCAGTCTTTTCTGTGACCAAATAAAAAAGTCATTAGGGTTAAATGAACATGGAAAGACTTGTCAGGTATCAAGAAGCAGAGAAATTCAAGAAAGTCCTGCAAGTTTTCTAGAATTATTTTTTAAACAATAAAGTTGCTGCTGCTCTGTGACACAACCAAGCTAACATTTATTGTAACAATAACTGTTCTCTTCAGCTATACATAAACATTAATATGGTGAAGACAAAATTGAAACAAAAATTCACATCCTTGTGGACCTGTTCATGAGGGACACTGTTGATAAAGTGGTATCCATTTAAACGGAAATTGCACACGCACACACACAGAAACCAATGCTAGATGATAAAGCTCTCCTAATGAAAGCTCTATTTCTGAAACCAACAGAAATAACCAGGCCCAAAATTCTGCTGTTTCCATGGCAAGAATTGGCCCTTTCGGTTTTCTTGAATTGCTGAATGACATGGAAAAATCATAAACAAAACAAAATTAACCCAAATTGCCTCTTGCACAACATGGTCATGGGAGTCTGGGTGATACAAATCCAAGCGAACCGTCTTCTTCAAATGTCTGGCAACGATGCTTTTTATTTCAGGGTCATGTCAATGCTATATATTAAAAAAAAAAAAAAAGACAACAAACAAACACAGAAGAACAAGAAAAATAAAGAAATCAGTCCTATGAAACAAATGGCTAGTCATTTCCCCAGTCCTGAGCTCCCACAAGGTATAGAGCATCCTCATCTCTCATTTACTTAAATGCACTGGTGTCAAATAGTTTACACACATCCTACCTACTATATATGGAAAATATACACCTTAAAAAGATCTGTTACTGTTTTATTGAAAGTAATAACTACATTCCTAGTAATTCCAATCTGAAGTAGACACCAGATGTGGAAAGATCCACTGGCAGAATGCCACCACAGTGTGGCAAGATATGGGTGCCCCTAAAAATGTTTCTAAGAGTACAGCTTTGCCATGTAGTGCAAAGCACATGTTATCAAATACTTTAGAAACATTCTTTAGATAAAGAAGTTGTCATCATAAACGGTGCATCAAAATACACTTTTCCTTATAGAATACATAACTATTTAAAGCACCCTCAATATTTATGAACTGTTACAGAACACACAGGGTTCTTTCACTGTGACTTATTTCATAATGAATGTTGGGCTTTTTTTAATCTTGAGGAAGTGCAAGAAGTTGAACAAAATAGAACATGAGAGAGCATGACAATAGACAAAAGCCTTTTGAACAGATATGAAAAAGACAACAGAAGCAAACTAAGAGCTGGGCAGACTCCAGAGAGGTTTCAGCAGAAAGCATACAGAAGAAAAGTCTGTGTAAAACAGCTGTTATCATTGTGGAGGCATTTACATGGGAAATCCTATTTCCTGAACAAATGACACCAGAAACTAGTGGTATGACCACAGGAAAACTATTGCCACTTCTAAAGACAGATTCGTATTTATGCAGAGAAAAGAAATAGCAGGAATTAGCATTAATTTGGCCTCAACTATATTTATTTAAGATACATAAATTATCTTTTCATATTGTTTTTTCCCACCCAACTTCTCTTTTGAGAAAAACGGGAAAATTGTTCAGGCCACAAAAAAGACCAAAAGCATAAATAAATAATCTTTAAGGTGTTGTTTATTTTCTGTTCTCATACTTTAAATAAACAGTTCTCATTGACTCATTACAGAATAAAGTGTCTGAGGAAAAAAAAAAAAAAAGATGCTTAGAGACTTTATGTCAACTGCCCTAGGAATCAGGAATTTAGCTTATGGATCTATCAGGTACGATACTGTGATAGTTTACTAGAATACAATTTTATTTAAAAAAAAAGAAGAAAAGCTCCATTTTATTTATACATCTGTGCGCTACCTGTACTTATTTGCCTGCTTATTAGTACTCATGTTATCGATGGACTCTTTTACTAAGGAGTCAGGTTTACTATATGTTGTTTCCTGAACAATATTCCAGTGTGAGACACAAGTGTATTTCTACATACCAGTGAGATGGGTAGGGGCAGCGAAGTCCCCAATCACTCCTCCCCTGTACACACTGGCCAGCAGCACACACTGCTGCAATGGCTAGTCCTCCTGACGCGCTGTTCTAGCAATGAACTGTTAGTGCTTGTGTGACACACTACAGCTGCGAACAGCCTCACGGATGCACAGTAAGAGCAGTGCAGAGTTTTCCATTTGCACGCTTCAGTTATGGTATCAGATGGAGGAACAGCATGCCAGAGGACTGACACATTCCCATTTCCAAGGGAACCAGCACAGCTTCGAAAGGAAAAAACATAAAGACCCTGGAGATAACTACGAAAGAAGCTGAGAAGCACAAAAAGCAAAGTGAAGGAAGACATCAAGAGCATGACCGAGAGATCGAAGTAAAAATCTAAGACTTTTTAATCTCTGAATAAGAATGGCAAGTTTACAACTTTTTGTTTTAATTGAGGATAATGCATGGGACCATCTTTGCTCTGATCACGTTGCACTTTTTCTACCTGTTTTACACATAATTTAACCTGAATATCCTCAGGCTAAGAATTCTATCTCTTTCTGCTTGGAAATGGTCAAGGACACTTTAAACACATCTGCAATGCAAATATAATAAATCCTAACTTCAGTGCTTTTTCTGATTGTATATGTTGTATCAAGTTCCTGAAAATAACTATAAAAGCATTTAGGCCTCCAAAAACCTTTATGGAGTCTACCCAGCCCCCGTTCCTAGCGGCATGGTTGTAAAATAATGGTAAAATGTAATGACAGTATTAGGCATAAATTCTTACTCCTGCTCCACTGAAGTGATTTCTGGATCATTTGAGAGGCAGCTAGTTCTGGATACAGGAAGAAGAGGTAGTAGTAAACATTTCTTCTGTGTTTTATTTCCTTCTCTTTTTAAATATGACATCAAATTTGGGGGATGTAATAACTAACTGTAGTGAGTATCTTTGACGGCACAAACACACAAATGTTATTGATAGAAATGTAGTGAGCTTAGAGCCTGCAACACAAATTAGTTTGAGTAATAAATTTTTAAGCTATTTCTTTAAGTTGGGGAAGGGAAATGCACTACAGTGACTTCATACATCCGACAATAACAATAATCAGTGATGCCTCATATGAATATTTAGTTCCCCTTTCACTTGCTATGCTGCAGCCTGCACTCTTTTAAATGAAAGGAATAACGAGAAAGCAGCTTTCTTCCACAGTTTTAGTTGTCATATACTACAATACAGAAGGGATAGAAGTTGCATTTCAAGGTTGGGTGGGCCTCATTTGTTTAACAAAATATTCAGATGGCATCAGATATTGAATTTATTGCTTCTGAGGCAGTCTAACTGCTAGAATCAAAAAACAGTGGCCAGTGTTTTGGGTATTTCTGGTTGTTTGAAAAGCTAATCTCAGGAGAAATGGAAGAAAACGTGTACTGCAAAAGAAGAAACTTCAGAAAAAATACAACAAAGAAGTGGTAAGATGAAAATGCTGAAGTGCACAAGCACTTCAGGGGAGGGAGACAGAAAAGAAACTTCAAAACCTCAAAATCTTTGACAGGGAAAATGTCATACTAGAAGTGACAGACACAGATCCCTTCTCCAGAATCTTGTGTATACAATACACAGGTGAAAAAAGTGCACTGCATACTTTATAAGCTCTGCTGAGTGAGTCAAGGATTGTGTCCTTCCAGTTAAGGATGTCTATGGTACTTTACACCATACTGCTTCAGTATGTTACAGCTAAGGCACAGAGTTATGAGTTTGAAGTATCTGATCAGCAGCAGTCACTGATTTATTAAGTGACCATAGACAATACAATATTATCAAATATTAATCCACTGGCCTATCCAACCAACACTGGAAAGACAGGAAAAGTTATCTACCTGCCTTAGCTGAGAATGAGGCACAATAGGTATCCCTAACTTAGTAAACTGTGAAAAATAATTTTTAAAAAGAACTACCTCCTAAAAACTTTATGAATCATGTGACATAATGGGTGAAGGGTAGAAAATGTTTAATAAACTATTTTAATGCAGTAAAAAAGTGATTTCAGTCTTCCCCATGACTACAGAAACAATCATAAAAAGACAGCAAAAATGTTTTTTATAGTGTAAGGGTATGATTATTCCTTACTGAGACCCAATGGTACAAAAGCAGGCTGCTCATAGTGAGAGGGGAAGTCAATTCACAAATGTGGCAACTCACACAGTAATTGCAACTACAAGCTGGTTGCTGTACCAAACACATAATGTACTTCTGCATTCAATCTATTCCTGTGAAACAAGTAAATATAATGCCAGCATCCAGCTGAAAGCTATCTTACTTAGCTGTTTCTGAAGTTTCCCTCAGCTCTTCATCCAGTCTGCATGAGTAAAAATTATTGATATAAAGAAACAAAGAAGCAGGCAAAGCATAAGAGAGAAGCAGAGCAATAGCAGAACAAATATAGTGCATGCTTCTAAAATAGGCACCGAGTATTATGCACTGACCCTAAAGCTCTTGAGTTCAGAATGATACCATTTATTCCTGTGCTCAACCCACCTTTAATTTGTAACTCCTTATTTAGCTCATTTGGAGGCAGAAACATAAAAGCAGCAGGGATCTGAGGCATGCCCAGTGGACAGAGCTGAAAGCAGTCAGTTGCTCTGTCAGATAGTATTAACCTAGCTGCAGCCTTGGCCAAGTCAAGGACGTTTACAGTTGAGTAAGTTTTATTTGCAAGCAGGCTGATCTCAACAGCTTGAAGGGGAAAGTAAGATTCCACATCATTTCAAGTCCTCTCTCATTCAGCTGTTGAGGTCGCCTGCAGGTGAAAGGCTGTCACACAGATTCACTCCATTACGAGCAGCAGCATGGGCTAGAAAGCAAGTTTTACCTCATTCTTCTCTTAATACACTTCTCTTCATCATACCTTACAAGACAAGAGTGGGTGAAGGAAGAGAAAAGATGTACAAGTTCATATGATACAACAGGCACATTGTATCCCACTTCAGTAAAAACTACCAAACAACCACGCAACCCAAATCCTGCCATAACCCTCTGTATTTTCTGTGGGTGATAGTCCTCGTGACTATCGGTAGTATTTCTGTTCTTGCCAGTGGAGTAATTATGAAGCCAAAAACTGAATTGTATTTTATTTTGCTACAGGAATGTGTCTCCGTTTGCAGCAGAAGGGAAGCTATCAGCTGAACACTGCTCTTCTCCCCATGGCACGGGAATAACCTTTCACAGTGCCTTGAATGCACACACCCACTACATCCTTCTATTACATCATCTTGAAAACGCCTGCCACCAATGGGCACACTTGTCACCTTTTGGGGTTTTTTTCTTCAGCAAAATCATGACCTCTCATCTGGCTGCTGATGACATGAAGTAGGCAGTTCCCTAAAATTCCTTAAGCTTTAAGTCCCAAGGTTTCTTTAGTACTGGTGTTGCAATCATTTCACCTCTGGTCTGAGAGGAGAATGGATTTTCCCAGCAGTTTTCAGTCCACAGGGAAGAAAAGATGTGTGTTACACACATGTGTGTACTGCTACAGACAGTGTGACAGTGAAACGCAGCAAGGAAGCAGAGAGAGAAACACTATCAGTTTAAGGTCTGTATCAAAGGGAACTATAAGATATTAAAATGCTTACAGGAATCAAAAGAGGAATGGAGGGAGGGAGGAAGGAATGGAGGGAAGGAGGATGAAATAATTTTAGGGATGTTAAAATATTATGGACATTTCTTTATCAGGTGACCAACAACCTCTGCACATTCTTAGCATCACTTCACCTCTGAAGAAGTTACAGGAGCAAATAAATTTGAGTGAAAGTCCCTATGATCCCTGATTTCATGACTGTAATTTACTATTTTTACAAGTGCCACTGTAAGAACTGAGCTTCCCATTTGCTCCCTGGAATTGCACAAATATTGGAGCAACCACCAGCCCGATGCAGGAAATTATGCTGCTTTCACAACTACTGTGAGGTTGGTGTGAAAACTCCTGCCGCGGTTGAAGACATCTATGACAGCTCCAAAAGAAGTGTTCTTCATGTCTAGTCACTGACAAACCATAAGGAAAAGACAATCATACTTACGTATTTAGTCATTAAAATACTTTCTAGAGCAGAATGTTTGCCTGTTCAAAACCTAGGATATTTGAATATGAAAAGAATAATAATAAAAAAGGCATAAAGTCTTTTAAATAGTGATCCACATGAAAACCATGAGGATTTCCAAGGATTTCAGTCTCGGTATACCATTTCAGTTTGTTGTTCTCAGGTCAGAAAAAAAGGCAGTTGAGGTGAACAATTCAAATCAACTTCCTACAATTTTTTAATATATGTCTTTCCTTTAGAAATACCTGCATTTAAAAAACCTTTATATATAAGAAGAAGAATTGAGAGACTGTCTTTCAGTGGTTCTGGGTTAAACCATGAAAATCAACAAGATAAGGAACAGTGAATCTATGGACGTTCAGTGGTTTTCTATTGAACAGGCTATGAATTACTGTTTCAGTTCAAAGCTCTGTATGACTAAAGTGGAAAACCACTTTTACTTAAATAGTGGGAAAAGTTATGGAAAAAATATAGCAGAAGTGATACCTGTGAAAGGGTTTGACTTTTTTTCATATTTTCTTTCTGGGTTCCAATTAGTGAGTGAACGGTCTGTTCCAATTTGGATTATATAATTCTAAGGTTGATGAAGGGACTCAGCCTGAAAGTTTTTCTTCATTTTACCACACCTATAATTTGGTTCACTACAAACCCGCTCTCTTCCTATAAACATTGGCTCCACTAGGAGTATGTATTTATTGTGGTTTGTGTTTCCATTACACAGTGTTTTCCTGTTTCTGAGTTTGACAATGGTATTTTTGTGGAATAATAAATTTGTAAAAATATCCACGAAGGGGCTTTCTGTTTTTCTTACAGACTCTGAAACACCATCATTAGTTTGTGGAAATAGTTTCCATTAGAACAAGTACACGCTTACTGTACATCACTTACTTGACAATACTGTCTGGTATATCCACGTATTCCATTGGAATCATCTCACGAAGCTCTGCCAATGTGTTAACGTACTGTATCTTACTGCTGAACTTAGAGCTGAAACACAGAAACAACATGTTAATTGACTTTTCCCCAAAAATCTTTTACAATATATTAAAAAAAGAGAAGGCGTGTACTTAATGTATTAAATAATTAAGCATTTTTATTCATATTTCGATTACAGAGTTCAGCTGATAATGAGCATACCTGAGTTCTAGTGAGGCTGAAATCAAGTCTGGACCTTTTGCTGTTTCTTGCTTAGGCTTAATCACAGTATTTAGGACAACATTATAAATTGTAATGTCTACATACTAGGCAATGCGATTAGTTTTACAGTTCGAAGGAGGTGTATTAAAATTCTGAGAAGAATCAAATCCCCTACAGCATGTTTTACTTACATGTAAAAAGGCATAGGAAGCATTCACTTAATGTGGTCATGATGAATTAACATCAAGCGATCGTGATGAATTAGGATTTATATTTGACACTGATTCTCAATCAAACATAATAAAACTGAACTTCCTCATTTGTTTAGATGAGTACAGATCTGATTGTGTATGTGCATGTCTATTCTTACTGCAGGGTCTTCTTATGAGGAAATATTTCCCTTGTTTATTTCAGCTGTGCTCTATGATCATTTATTGTGTTTGAGAAACAATCACTCTGAAAAAGGCTAAATTGTTCAGAAAACACACTTAAAAAATAATGTCTAACCTGAATTATTTCATATGTTTCAGCTTTGAGAAACCTATCTTTCTCATTTGGTTCATAAAGCAATTTTCCAAGTTTACCTCTGGTTGTATTTAGATAGTCTTTTAACATCAGTAACAGTGACGAATGCACATTGACTGTAAATGTGAAGTGTGGGCCACGAAAAACAGAACACGTTCTTCCTACTTACTGCTGATTTGGGGGCATGGCCAGACAACATGAAGCCTCTGAAATATGCCTGAGCAGAAAGTTACTGCCCCTACCTTTACCATACATATCTTCCTAATAATGTAAAGTGAGACAACTGAAACAGGAATACGTCAAGGTACTGTGAATAGTTGCTTAATTTGTCTCTGTACCAGACTAGCATCACTAGGCACACACACTGGAGCAGGCCAATGGCCATGCTTTGACCATGGATGAATCACTCACAATTGACCAGTCAAAGCCATGATAACATACAGACAATTTTAACATTTTATCCATAATGTTAATCATAGTCTGCATCATCTGAACTGTCAGCTAAAGTAACTTGGCAAGCTGCAAGCCAATCAGAAGCTTCTAAAGACTGGGGGGGGAATAAAAATCTTTTCACAGAAACTTGTTTTATTAGAAACCTAATGTCTTACCTAACGCAGCTAAGATGATGTCTAGTGTGAATATCTGGTCCATAAAAGAGTATTTAGGATCTATCTTTGTAACCACTAGTTCTTTTACCCTGTGTATTCAGACAGCTGTTTAGTGTTTGCCAGTCAAGATGAGTCCCAGACTCCACTGAATGCCCATGCTAGTATTTGAGGTGGTTGTGTTGATTATAGCACAGCCTCAGTGTCTTGACTGTCCCTTGCCACGCTGTTGTCTTTCAGTTTCTTGATTCCTACTGTTTTGGCCCACATCTCAGCTGAAATAGAATTAAAATTATGTTGCTCATCTCAAAACATGTTAGCTATCTCACTGAAATCTCTGCTTGCCTTGGGAAAAATTCATTTCTTACTCTAAAATTCCCACCATGCACATCAGTGTTTTGGTGAACAGCCTGGGGCTAGCAAACTGAGCTACAGCCACCAGCCTTCAATGTATCAAGTTTCTATCTCCTTACATCGCTTGTTACTGAATTGACTCTCTCTTTTCATGCCTCCTGGAATTTTTTGGTTAGCTTTCTCATCTTTCTTATAGTGGTCTTCTGTTCTTGGTGAGGGTTCGAGTATCTTATGTTATCTTCCATAAAAGTCACATTGGCCATCTGTCCTGCCCACCTTTTTTTAGCTCCCATTTGCACTTAACTTTCTTCTTGCACAGACAGAGACTCAACCTACTTAGCTGAACTGGAGAGCTTTAACTGGTCTCTATTGTGTTTGGTTTTGTACTGCTAACTTGCTCTGCCAAACTATTTAAAGCAAACCTTTTCTCCTGTTTGGCAATGCAAAGCCTCTAGTCACTGTGCTCAGAATGGTCATTCTGAATAAATGACTAATGATTTGAAACAGAGATGGCATATTTGATTTTTTAAAATTTTATTGCCTACCTTTCCTCTGGGAGCAAATAAGATGCCAACAGAAATATCCCAGACTCCAAATGCAACTCAGTGAATCACCATCACTACTGTTGATAATTCCAAGTATTGTTTACCTGTTACTCTGGTATTTTTAATTGTCACTTTCTATTAGGTATTAAAGACACAACACCTGAAAGAAGAAGCTCCGTTATGACACCGCCTATTGCATTTTGGCAGCAATGGGAGAAGTCTTGTGCTCCCCAACCCAATATCACCTGTGACAGACACCTCTAGTATCCTCATCTACAGCCTGAGGGCAGACCCCTCTGATGTCTGTCCTCACGTATGTAATTCACTTTATGACTTCTGTAGACAATGCTTCTTGAAGCAATTCTTTCTCACACCTGTCAGTCTGCTCCCCTGATCTCAGGATTTCAAATGCATGCTTGCCCATCTTCTTTAACAGCTGGTGCGGTCTTCAGGGTCTGTAACATTTCTTTGCTTTTTTACTAATCAAATAATTATTTTTGGTAGCATTAAACCTTTTTTGGAACCAGAAGTCCTATGCATTCAAACAGCTCAGGGTGCTGGCAGTCCTTCCAGGAAGAGCAACTAATTTTTTTAAACCCAGAATTGTAGCTCAATCTCGTTCTGTAGCCAGGAATCTTTTTTTATGAGTTGATTATCATTACACGCGGACCCCTTTTCTACATACCTTTTAGCTGGGCTTGGAACAAAGACAATTTTAAGAGACGAAATTCCCAGTTTGCATACAGGTTCAAGGTATTGTGCCTGTGATGTCTTCAACTAGATACTCATGTAAATCATGGGGTGTTTTCTACTCACTTTAGGTAAGTCAACCTCAACCGTCAAAATCCCAACATGAACTGTAATATGAGTATTCTTCAGTGAAAGATTAACAGCCATGTGTGATGATTTGTGGTGCTGCTGTATTCTTAGGGACACAGAAAATCACTGGTATTCACTACATACCTTATAAAAGGTCGTGTCACAGCCAGAATTGTCCTGATAAACCATGATGGATGAACAATAATAAATGATTTCAAATTCTTCCGTAATCTAAGCAAAAAAAAAGAAATGGTTTCTTAAAAATAAGAAAACCCACAAAACATACAGAAAGATCATATACAGTGAACACTGTCATACAGGGGAGTAACAGAAATGGACAGTGTTTAAAATAATGGGTGTGGATCAGAGAGGAAAATACTACTTACCTTCGATCAATCATCTGGTAACATTTTTTCATCCAACCCAGTCCAGGCATTTTCCTTCTTGGTGTTGCTCCATTCAAGTATACAATCATATAGTCTTCAGCTACCATCAACTCTAAGGTACTGATTACATAGCTGATAAAAGTACAGAAGTGAGCGTGTACATTATCCACTTAAGCCCAAACTAAATCAGTCTACTAGGAATAAATCAAGGCAGACTAAACAATTTATAACAAGACAGTGTTTTCTTTTCCATTCAACCAAAGCAAACACTTAGCTCTGGTTACCATGCTGCATGTAGATGTATAACTAGAAAATGACAATCTTATTTGCATTTTCAGAAATACATGGTTTCCTTACAAAAGGACAGCTTCATTGGAATACTCACTATCTCACAGGTGACTTTGCTTTTTCTTAAAATGGCATTAAATCATGAGATTTTGCAAGGGAGAGCGTGGCAGGACCACGTGAAGTTCCAGGAAATTCTGAAATTAACTGTTGAGAAACTTCTCTTCACTATTAATCGTCATGTTTGTTCAATGCAAAACCGTACTTGCCTATAATTCTTGTGATACTCACACTACTGCTACTGAGTCTGTGACTGTCAACTTCAAATGTTTTGAATCTCAAGGCTAATAAAACTCTTCCATCAATCTGCCTTCTGATGGGACAGAGCACCCCATGGCATCACTTCATTTTGTGAGCAAAACACTCCAAACACTCATTAAAATTCCTCAGCTTGGCAATGATAATTCAGACAAAAACAGTGCTCTGGGGGCCAAACTCACCCTACCTAGAAGAGCACAGTACTCAGAAAAATGAAAGGGTAGCTTTAAATTCTTGTCCAGAACTATATATGCAGATGCTCTGCTCTATAGTCCCTACCTCACTTTGGAGCTGTTCATCACAGGAATGTTCAAATTGTTCTCTCTGATATCCAGCCCCAAGGCATGTCTATGTAAAAACTACAGTGAGAAATCATGAGTCACACCTTAAAAACCTGAATGCCTGAGTGCTCACTACAAAAGGCAGCTCTATCCCTGAACATAATGGTCCCTTTCACAGGTGCATGGGAATGACTCACAGTCTAATCCGACCCTTAAATTCCTTAAGATGCAGTTTGTTTAAAAGAATAGTAGGAAACCTAGGTCTCAAAGAGAGTGATATTTTACCTGGGCATAAAGTAGGCAGCCATTAACTGACCAGTACCATGCATTTGATAAATCCCCCCCTAAATCACTACTCACTCCATGCTTTTCACTGCTCTCCTCACCTTGCAGTTGTGCATTCCCTGCTTTTGCCTGACATTTGTAAAGGTGCATGTCTAACAGTGAAATATCAAAATGAGGGACTGTATGGACATTCTGATGCAAAAAGCTTAATTTAACTGAATCTACTGACTATTTGACAGGTTATGAAATTAGCCCTTCCCACAGAGCACAACATCTAGTGATTTAAAGGCATTTAGATACAAACATACAGAAAAGTGTGTGTAAGTACTTCTCAAAACACTACAAGTCTTTCAGTTATAGAGAGTTCTTGCTAGCTTTAACTAATTTCTTATTATTTGGTAATAATTGATTTATTATTTGAAAATATGGACAAAATTTTTCTCATTGACTAGAATAATTCACTCTGAAGTCAAAAAGTGCTGGTTTTGATTTTCAAAGTGTAGTTTTCCAAGTCATTCTTTTAAAAAACATTTAATCTCTAGACTGTATCAGGCAGCCACAAAAGAAACAGCAGAATTCTCTGTGTGGTGCTGCAGCATCTAGAAGTGCTGCAGAAGATGCTCTCTCAAGACTTTTGGCTCAAGCCCAACTCTTCAAAAACAGTTTTACATGATTAGTCAAGGCAATAAATAGGAACAAGGTAGTTAGAAATGTGAAGGGAATCCAGAAGGGACAGTAACTGCAAAACTCAGTAACAATTGAGGACAGTTGTTAATCAGAAACTAGAGGTGGCTTATATACTGCAAGTGCACGATTATCTATCAGAAACATACCATATAAAAAGTGAGAAGAGATTTAGTGATTTACTGCATAATTCAATAGTAAAGAATTCACAAATACTTAAACATATCAGTCATTGGATATGTTGTAAACTGTTGCGTTCCCTCTATTTCAATGCAATTAATAGGCCTACAACTGAAAGAAAGGGTTGATATGACTTTCCCTTTTCTTGTTCTCTTACTGAGAACCAACAGCCTACAAGCCTTAAAATAAGCTGAAGATTCACAGCCAACCTGAACTCCCTCTTACACCAAGAAAAACACAGTGAGTTATAAAACTGACTTTGGCAATATCCTCAAGTGATATGGACAAGTCTCTTCCAGACTGAAAAGGCTTTCTCTACAAAGTCCATATGCCAAGAGTTCTGTAAACAAAGCTTCTGGGTGAAGTCAAAGAACAATTATTTAATGTCAGTCCTGGTTACCTAGTTACCGAGTTAAAACCACTGTAGTAATTCCTCCCCTCTAAATCACTGGGCATTGTGTAAATCAATTACTGTCGATGACATGAGGGTCTTAGAGGCTCTACTAGACAAATGCTAGCAGTTGGTCTGACCTGGAACTAGAGCACGCAATCTTGTTTTTCATACATAGACACAATGTTGAAGGCATTGGCTGTCACCATATGTATCTTCAAGGACTGGACTTTTAAGGAGACTGGGTCTGTGCTCTTGGTGCCTCGTAAGATGCAAACGGTGATGGCCAGGCCTCTGCTGGGTTTAGAAATGACTTACTGGGTTTTAGCACAGAAAACGCTGGAATGATTTATTTTTTTAACAGCTGTAAGTGGAAGTAGCTGGAGGCACTTCAGAGAAGTGCTGCCTTCACAATTTTTGGCTTCCAAACCAAGTTGCTATTAGCAGTAATTTTCCTGTGATAAATTTGGGTTCACGTGGCCAAATTTGTGTCCTGCCCAACGCCCCTGGCACTTACAACTGAATCAGAAGCAGCTGGAGTCAGGACAAATACTTAGAGCTGTTTGTGTCAGCATTGGCCGTTCATCCTGTATTTTTAAAACAAGTGTCACAAAATGGTCCTGTGACTCCTAAACACAGCCACAGCATATATTAAAATTATGATATACACTGATACATCATGATAATACATAATAAACAATGAACAGTGAAAACCAGTCTTTCACTGCTGATGTTCTCAGCAAGAGCCGAGTCCCTGCTGATTGTTCTCAGCAAGGGCTGGAAATCACTAGTGAAACAGTACAAGCATTGTAGGCCCAAGAAGCTGAAGATACTGCGTTCCTTGGCATTTAGGGAGATAATACAGTCAGATCTGGTCCTGGCAAATACGCCTTAATTTGGAAGGGTGACTAGGTAAAGAACACCAAAATAATACTCCACTGAGCAGTTTATCTAAAACTGCTATTTTCCTTGTCATTCAGATCACTCCCCTTCTAATGACTGAAATTACCTCTTAACTAAAGACAGGTTATCTCTCACTAGATAATTATGAGTACTAACTCAAAAGCCTCTGTCACATTGCTCACATATCACTCACAGGAAAAGATTTTCCATGACATAGTTGTAATCAGTTCGACTGCTGTCCGGCAAGAAGCATGCTGCAAACACAATGATAGCATTCAGACCATCACCATAGTATCCTGTGGAAAAAACAAAAAGGCATTTTTATCTTTATCAAAGGCGCTTAACAAGATGAATTTAAAAAGAAATCTCAAAGTTCTGGAATAGAGCTATTATGTCTACTGCTGAAGAAGGACAAAAATGTGCAAACTATCATCCAGTGATAAAGAAGAGGATAGTCAGTTATGTTGAATTCCTGAAAAACACACTTAGTACAACTATTAGTACATTTTTATAGAGATCAACAAAAACCCCTTGTAAGTAATACGATCTTATTGTAACTATTGGTTCATTGCATCGCTATGGCAATCACGTGCTGACTGCTCACCTTAGACTGAGGAATAAGGGGCTAAAGAAAATATCCTACATTTGTTATCCTGCATCTTTTGAATGATGTGGGTGAACAGAGTTAAATCCAGTTGGCAGCCGGTCACAAGTGGTGTTCCCCAGGGCTCAGTCTTGGGGCCAGTCTTCTTTAATATTTTTATCAATCATCTAGATGAGGAGATTGAGTGCACCCTCAGTAAGCTTGCAGATGACACCAAATTGGGTGGAAGTGTTGATCTCCTCAAGGGTAGGAAGGCTCTGCAGAGGGATCTGGACAGGCTGGATCAATGGGCCAAGGACAACTGAATGACGTTTAACAAGGCCAAGTGCCGGGTCCTGCACTTGGGTCACAACAACCCCATGCAGCGCTACAGGCTTGCAGAACAGTGGCTGGAAAGCTGCCTGGTGGTCAGACATTGGAAGAGGCTGCCCAGAGAGGTGGTGGAGTCACCATCCCTGGAGGTGTTCCAAAAACACATAGACGTGGCACTTCAGGACATGGTTTAATAGACATGGTGGTGTTGGGTTGATGGTTGAACTTGATGATCTTAGAGGTCTTTTCCAACCTAAATGATTCTATGATTCTATGAAAGTCTTGCAATCCAATCTCAGTGGGCTTGCGCAGCTCCAATAGCCTCAGGATATTACAATTATGACTGCATCCCACTATACCTTAAATGCTCCTGGGAATCAGTTAAATCCTTTGCTGCAAGTTTTGTATAAAATACTTTTTTTACTTTGGACACTCCAGTTGTCCAATACTGGCATTCTCTGGGCTGCACCAGTGCCTAATGATAGTTGTAAACCCTCAAAACTGCAGCACTACTGCTGTGGAGTCCAGGACAGTTGCTTGTTACCCAAAAGAAAAAAAAATATTTTTTCATGGTGGATTAATGCTGGTTAATCTTCTCCACAATCATTTGCAGCTGCTATGGATTTCTGTATTCTTAATAATAAATACAAAATAATCCTGCAATTCAGTTGAAAGTTTTGTTTAAAAGATACAAGCAATCAAGAGGCAATTTATAAAGATGCTGTAGAAATGGTTGTAGGTAGATAGCAGTAATGACACAAAGAGAGAGAAGCTGAATATAAGAACAACTAGAAAACCTTTCTAAAGAGGCTAGGAGAAACCAATCGTGAGGGAGAGATTATATCTGCAAAGGAAACTCTAAATCTCGCTTGGAGATAGGAACGCATTCCTGACAAAATCAAAGGAAAATACCATCACCTATACAACACTTTCATAAGGAGATTTTGACTTTTACAGGGCTTTTTGGGTACTAGAGAGCAGTATCCAAGCCTAACTCAAATGCTTGTAGAACTTCTTGCATTGTATCCATCCAAGCAAGGCAAAATTCTCTATAAAAAGACAGAGATAATAGAATCACAGAATCATTTAGGCTGGAATAGAGCTTTAAGATCATCAAGTCCAACCATTAATCTAGCACTGCCTTAAAGGACTTTTGGGACAATTTATATCAGGCTGCCATAAAGCAATCTGTCCAGCTGGCTCAGGAGTTTGGCAGCGAGAGCACATTGTGGCAAGCGTGTCCACCAGATTACACAGAACAGTTTGCAGTTCATGTAAAGCAAAATGATTATGTGCAGATGCCACCTAACAGCACACAGAAGAAAAACCCACAGATAAATCTAAGTCACTTTTTCCTACACATGCTTGTAGACAAGGAATGTTCACCCAAGGGAGAAGTGCTTTTTAATTCATCACTGGAAGCCAGTAAAAGCCATTTGCACAAATTCTCAGTCAGCCTATGCAAAGAGACAGATCTCAAAGAAATTTCTCCCTAACATATGTGGAAGGCAATCTCGTATCTAGACTGCCAAGTCTACTCTCCCCTTTCCTATTTTGTGGCTACCATCTAGATTCTGCATTTGGTGTTACCTGTCTTTTGGCAGGGAGGAATGTTCAGTAGATCATTGAATCATCAAGAGATACTTGACCTGACTGCTAATTAACTGTTCTTAATCTCGAGGTTAAAGGAAAGATTCCTGGCCTTCTAAAGCATGCCAAAGATACCATAGTATTGCCAAAGGGAACATGATACAGAATAGGCCTAGCCGCCATAATGTAGAAACTGTTGAAGCTGTCCAAAGTTTTCCCACGACCCATACATCAAAATTATTTTGTTTCCACATCTTCAGTCTGCCACTTCCTAAACAGAGAATTTAGTCCAGTCCTTAACTTGCTTTGATATGGCTAGATTTCAGGCAAAATTTCCAATTTAGCCAATGGTGGGCTGAAACTTATCATTACCTCTCACACCATTTATTTTACAATGACAAATGTTACTGACCAGCACCCATTCAGAAGTAAAGGAAACATAATGCTCTTTATCTTAGATAAATGTACTTCATCGTTGCCATCAGAGATGTCTGCCACTGGAACTAGTCCTTGTTCAACAGGCAAGCAATGCTCAATTAAGAGCTACTTCTCCGCTTACTAAAATGGACAGGTATTTATTTTTCAAAAAAGCTGGTATAAATGTATACATCAGCATCTAGTGGGAACTGTACGTGACAGTTTTCACCACAAATGTACCTAGACTAGTTTACAGCATACAAAAAACATATAAATAAACACAATTAGCAAGGCCGCAAAATGTTGTGTTTGTTTCCTAAATTATGCCATCTGTGTCTGTTTGCTAAACTGTATCTGAGGTGTCATCACATTCATAAATCTTTGATGGTGATGTTATGGTGGGAAAATGCTTGGAGGTTTAAATGTGTTTATTAATTCCAACTAAACCTTCTGCACACTGGCCACTGTGAACATCTGTAGGCTAGCATTTAGCTGCTTTTAGTCTAAACGTGCAAATTTGAGGACCACATCCTTAGGTAATATGATTAACCATAATTTATGTCACTTTTACCAGATAGAGATTCAATACTGAAAATACTGGAGAAAATGGCTTCCCTTTAAATGACATTACAGATCAGCAACACTGTGACAGAAGCATCGTCATATAAACTCACAAATCTTACCTCTGAGATGCTAAGTTACCTGCCTCAGTTTTTGCAGGAATAGAACAACTCATCCTTACTTAATACCTTACTTAATAGCGGAAAACAGTGTCCCCCAAACATCTAGAATCCCAAAATAATCTAACTGTGAGACACCAAGGAAAAGGCACTTAGAAAGCTTTGTTTCATTCTCTTCCTTCAGTATCTGTGGTAATATTTATCCATTTGAATTAATTTATACAGAAGTGTGCTAGTAACACCAGAACTACAAATTCTCTGAGGAAGTTAGGGAGCAGAAGAGCAGAGGGAACAATATAAGCACATGAGGTCATTTTCCTATTTTAAATGTTTTCTTTCATATGCTATTTGATAATCATTAACAAATTATGTGAAAAAAACCCATAAAACAGTTGCTGGTGAAATGCTATCTGCTGACAACTATAAATGGCAGAACAATAACATAAGGAGCTTAGCCAGACGAATGGGAGCCCCAGGGAAAACTGTTATTTTTTTTCTTTTGCCACTTGTTTAGATCTGTGCACTCACATACATCATTCAGCAAATCACAGAGCACTATACTTGCTCATGCAAAAGTTTTTGCCAAAATCCACAGAAAAAAGTTTTCAATTTTTTTTTTTCCTGTAGGACAAGTTCTGTGAGACAGTTTTAGCCAACAATGACCAGACTGTTACCGACACATGTATGTCAGTTTATTTGTTGCTCCTGAAATTGCTTTGTATTTAAAATACTCCTTAGTCATTGCCACACTGAATTGAAAGCCTGGTAAATTTCAGCCATGGCTGAAACATAAACTCTCCCCTTGCCAGTACCATAACTGAACTGAAATAAAGCATGAATTTGCTCAATAAAGCATGATCTTTTTACATAAATCTAAAAAATGCATTCAGAGTTTTCCTACCTCCATGTGAAATGACCTTTTTGTAAGGTTCAATGACTTTCATGTCAATTCTTTGTTCTTGTTCTCCAATAACCACAGTTCTCCATAACCTGTTGTCCTCTCGCTCCTCTTCAGCGGTGTACTCTGGAATTGATTCTGACTCCTCCTGGGAAGCATCCTTAGCAGCAGTCCGCTCTTCTGAAAAATAAAATTGTATATATTACATCTTCCTGTAAAAGCATTAAATATTTTCTCTGTTACATACATTTGAAATGGATGACTGAAATAAACTGGATTTTTACAGCACTATCCTGGATCTGCACTGGTATAAGTAAGAGCAGAATTTGATCATCTAACAGTTAGTAAATGAGAACTTTCCGCTTTTAAAAAAAAACTTTTAATCATTTTGAACATAAAAAGAACAGCAACAATTATCACTATGTTGTCCCAAAACTGGGGGTTCATTTACCCCGTGTGCAACACGCCAATATACACACAGAGCAGAGGTATTTTATTGCATATTTGTGCAGCTATGGGTGCCTGTCCAAGATAGCACACCAAAGCTCCAAATCAGTGGTTATTTATACATACCACATTAACATATTCATCTTTCTAATGCATATGCATTGTTATTCTATTAAATGATTGGTTTAGATTTCTTCGCCTAGCATGCAAACTAGAATGCACGCTCAGTTCTTTTCTCCGCCTTTATCTTTTGAGTCAGTGGTATAATTAGGGTGGGTGGTCCATGGGTCAGTGGTCACAATCTCCCCCTGTTGGAATTACCTTTCCCCTAATTTCCTTCTTCTTTGGCAATCATCAATGAGTCTTCAAGGCTTGTTGGTCAAACTAACAATTTATCAGTTACGCTTCTACTTCTTGACAATCACATCTTCATTAGTACATTGTTTAGATATACATTAGCACAGGGGTAGGACTATACCATGGTGTCCCTTAGCAGCAATAGTCTTGGCTACATTTGATTTTGCTGCCACAAATATGCAGAATACCCCTAAGGGATTTTTGCATCCAGTTAGTAAAACTGATCAGCCTCACTAGAAATACTGCACAGCAGGTCTTTAAAAATCTTTGTGTTGCAAGTATGATAACTATACTAAAAAGCAAAACTATACTAAAAAGCAAAAAAAGTGAGCACAGGGATGCTCCTTGTCTAGAGAAGAATTACCAGAGCTACAGCTTCTGAACTTTTTCCCAGTTTGTCTCCAGTATCTTCACGTCTGCCCATAGCAAATACAAAACCCGCCCATCTTTCTCTGCTTCTGTCATGAGATAATGCTGACTCCTCATATACGCACAGTATTCACCTCCCTCAGGGCCTTTTGGTTGAGGTTAAATACCAGTTTCCTCTCAGATATGAAGTACAGAGCAGCCAGGCAATCTGGCCTGTTCATACCAGCAGCTGTGAGAGAACAGGTACATGTAGTCCACAGATACGATGATCACAGTAAATAAGCTGCACGGCTGACAAGAGACTATGAAGTCTCATAGCACAGCCTCTCTGCTGGATGCTCTTAGTTTTGGAAAAGCTGTGAAGTAATTAACAAAATCTACATTTCCATTGCATATTGAGGAAATGGCTCTTAACAACAAATTTAACTGCATTCCAGTTTGTCAAACTTAATGTCTGGTTACAGAGAAAGTGACATGAAAATTGATTCTGTCTGCAGATGGAAAGATTTAATTTCCTTCTTTAGTTATTGTTACAACATACTGTTTTTACTGAAAGGAAAAAAATATCCCTCTTTTGTACTATTATTTTGCTGAAGTACCTTTGCCTTGTGGCTGTGTGCATATTATTAATTTATCTTCATAGTAAAGTTTCTATACATTTTATGCATTACACATATTTGAGTAAACAAAACCAACTGTTATTTTTAAAGTATTATTCTGGCTTTGTAGTCATAAGTAAGAGCAGAATTTGATCATGTAAGTCAATAAGTGAGGTAACAGTAAATAAAGATATAGTGACATACACAATGACATACATGAGTGTACATAAAAAGCTGATCAGACATCTTATTTGAAAATACCAAAGACAATACAAGAATTAAGAATAAACTAAAAGAAGTTCTTTTAGTTGACAAGAAGAAGTAAAGAACATAATGTTTCATAGATGTCCTCAAATCTTTCTATGTATTGGTTTATCTTTGGATGCCTCTGATTAATGGTCCTTCTGGAACTACTCATACAAATGGAAGTATATGATCCTTGAAACACACCTGTTTATCATAAGAATTAAATCAATTATCTTTAAGAAATCAGGAATAAGATAGTATACTGTGTGTATACCACGTATATCTACACACATAGAACCTGTATGCACATGTACTGACTATTAATTTGTAAAACTGATTTTGGCATTGAAACCTATCTACAATTTCACCAAATTTGTTAGGAATATCAAGTTCCTCAAACTACCAAAAAAAGCTTTGAACTTTTTAAAAAATATGTATGAGGTTGAGCACACATTCTTTGTTACAGCAGGACTAACGAAGTCTGTATTTCTATTGCTGCCTGTCTTGTATTTTCTGTCCCTAATACAAAGTATTATTAGGGAATGACTCCAGAGGAAGGTCTCCCTCTCTGACGCACATTCTTCCACGTGCAACAAAAGCTGAGTCTATCACCAATTCTTTTCTTTCACCTGCTGGAATCTTGCAAGAAAGGAGTAATATTTCACCTCCTACCTCACTGCCTAACCAGCCAATGAGTTAAAACATATTGAAGAAAAAAATTTTATTAATGGTGGAAACAGGGATGGAAGATCAAGAAATATATACATGTGCATATACAATGTGACCACATAAGCCTTTTTTCCTTAGGAACTGCAAATAAAGGGAATTTGAGGAGATCTAAGGTTGAGAAGAACAGGCTGACTTCTTTTTTTCCCCAAGTATACTATTTCAAAGTGGTTTAACAGTTGCTGCTCAGTAGATTATATATATTGTGGAATTGAAGTATGGATTCATGCTTTCTCAGGCTACAATGTTCACAATGTTTAATACTATACTCAGTATTCAATTTTGAATTATCACATATTCCATGACATTGAGAACAAGCTTACAAAATACAGACTCCCACTCCCTCCAAACCTAGATAGCTTAATGCAATTTTGTATGATGTTAATTTTGTAAAGGTACCATGGGAAACAATATGAAAACTACATGCCTGCAGTCAAGCTATGCAGACTTTGACAGGCCATCACAGGGTGGTCCATTCCTTAAAGGATATAGGGTCCCCACAGGATGCTATTACACAGCTCAGGTGGTTTCAGAATAGATAGATGTGATTATGAGAACAGCCTTGGAATAACTGTCTAGTCAGGTAGTTCCTTGGAGGGTAGAAAAGAGGCTGGGCTAAGTAACTGGCAGACTAACTTTGAAATTGTATTTAGGGCTTGATAATTTTATTTTTTTTTTGTTGGTGAAACTGCAAATGATTAAAAAATGATGAAAAGAGACCCTGATAAAACTTACAATGCTGGCACTGGCCAAATGGATTATATTTTGATAGAAATCATATCAGATTGCCTCTTCCTGACTATGTGGCTATGCTTTACTGCCTGGAGAGTTGATTTTGCACAGAAAGATGCACCACTGTGAAATTCAGAAAGGAAATAAACATCTGCAGACAACATAATAAACACTCTCTTATTTTCCAGATAACACTGATTTGGGAGGAGGCATTCACCTATATGCACACATGGTTTTCAGAAATGCAATTTTTATGTCATCTAATGTAATACTCATAAAAAGCTAATTTCAGAAACAAGACTACATTCTGAGACAAAATGTTCAAATTTAAGGTATTAGTGACAAAAAAACCCCTATGAAACTGATGATCAACCAATCCCTAAACAAATCAGGTGCTAGTTTAAGACAAATACTTTACTATTTCTGCTCTCATCTATTTTTCCATATATTACAGTTGTGATGATTCTTCTTCATCATTCTTTTAAACAAATGGGTTTTGGTATTTCTTGTATTACAGAGCCATCAGTTTTCCAGCAAGGAGGTGGACCCCCAAATCACGACAACAGTCTTGCTTTTCTCAGGTGCCTTTTTTAGTTCAAATGGACCTTCAGCAGTCTGAGCACGACAAGCTAAAAATCATTGCTCTCTACAGTCTCAACAGCTACATCTTCTCAATATTTACTTCCCTGTGTTTGGCACAACAGTCTAGAAACACTGTGGGAGACTGAGTGCTGGAAACAGCAGAGTGCATACTGGTTGACAGTAGAGTGACAGAAGTACAAAGATCACAAAGGCTATTTACCATGCAAATAAACCATTCTGCAGTAGTTCTTATGACTATACTCAGCTATCAGGTTCAAGTAATACATACCCTACTTATTTTATTGCGGACTAATTTTGATAAAATGTGCTTTTTTTCCCTTTTCTACTCTCTGTTTCTGGCTCATCTAAGTGGAGGACATTTTGCCAATTAAGTACGTCCAAAATCAAACTACACAACTGTAAAAATGTCACCAAAACCACAGGCACCTTGAGTTCTTCTTCATTTAGGAGTCTGCGGAAACTGGTCCAACCTTAGCAATTGAATGAATCATCACATTTAGAAAGCAGCAAAAAAAGCTGGGGAGAAATGATTGCTACAAATACAACGGCCACCAAAAGCACTGGAGTTGAACGTATTTACTTGAGGGCTTAAAGGCAAAATCTGTTCCACTGCAGATTTTTGCTCTCACACAGTGGTCACAACAGTCTAAAACTGCAAGCACACACTGCTCTGGTGTGAGCATGCGTGTGTTAGAATATTTTGTAGCAAAGGTTAAAACTAATCATCAAGCAGCTCATCACTATGCTCTGCATCTACCCATAAGGAAATCGGCCTTCTAATGAGAAGTGACATTACAGATGCTCATGCATGATTGAGTACACAGTAATGCCTCTTTGGCAATACCACTTAAACTGATGCAACTGTTCTTGTATGCTCAAAAGAGCATACAATTTTTAAATTATAGTGTCTTCACTAGCCACAGAGAATTTAAATGCAAGGGAAAATTCAGTTTAAATTGATCCATTTTTAAAGTTTCTTTCTGTTGTAGATTGTAAAATGGTCACATTCATTTCCCCCCCCCCAAATAGCTTATGATCTTTATGTATTTACATTCGTGAATACAGTTCTTAGATGGTTCTTAATGTACTAGCAAGGAATGAGTGTTAACACCCTATTTTGTACATCATGAGGGTAAGTAAAGTGAGTAAGACAGTGTAAAATGCTTTTGCACCACACGAGAGAAAATCATTTACATGCGAAGAAAGAATGAATTACCCATTGCACACTTCAGGGTGTATCTATCCTGTACAACTAGCCCTACTGAGAAAGCGTGTTTAAACTGGTGGAATGAGTAATTCTGTTGTTCCACTACCTGAGCTAGCTTTATCATGCCATGCACATACCTTCCACGTCTCAGCTTTCCAACCAGACATGGGAATAAAAAAAAAAGACCTTTCTCACTAACAAAAGACCTCTCTTACCACGCTGTGTCCAGTTCATTTACACACTGCAAGCTCTTTGGTGCAGCTTATGTCAGCCAACACAATTTGCACAAGGTTATATCCCCAAGTACTACTGATGTAACTGTAAACTAGAGCTGGCCAGAGCTGCACAAAGGTGCAGTTAGCTATAGTGTTCTCTACAACAGAGGGCAACTGCTCTCTCCTTCTTGAACAACTCTTTTCAGACGAGTCCTATGGTGACAGGGCTTTGAATTTGATTCTCTCTAGGTAGCTCTTCTTATTTTACTTGATCAGCTGTACTATGTCTTTCTGCTGTCTGTGTAAGCAGAAATGTATTACTTTACATAGGGGAAGAACAGTTAAAAAATAGCAGACAGTAAAAATATCTGGGCACCTAGCATTAACTCTGAAATGCTTTAACCATATTCATAGCCTGACAGACATGAAACTCACCATGTAAGCAGTAAAGGAAGAAACAGAGATGAACTCTACATTTACAATTTAGAACATTACCTTGTCCAGTGTATTCAAAAGAGTCTGCGTCATCAGGAGTGTCAAGGTCATCTACATTGATGTCAATTTCATCCGGTGTATCCAAATTATCATCAGAGAGTACAGACCCTTCACTATGGTCCAAAGAGAGATTGATATTTGGAGCAGTGAGCTTTATCCTTCTGGGATGGGAACCGTCAAGATCAAGAGAATTGGGAGGTTCTGAAAAAAGTGGAAGAAAACAAGAACATTATCTCCTCTGTATACAATTCATGTCCCAGATACTTAAGAATCACCTTCAAACACACTGGGACAGATCAATTTTAGTAACACCAAGCCATTTAAGACCACTACTAACATAAAACACAAATATCAACATTAATGTTTAAAGAAATAAACTAAGCATCTACAGGAATGGCAGACGTAGCTGGGAGCTCTTAAATTATGCAAAATCCAGATTCACTCTTTTGCAATCATCAGACAAAAATCAAGCCTTGGACATGCTCTGACCCACAATGTTTAAGAATTTAAAGAACAACATACAAATCATTTGAATTATGAACCAAGACATTGCTGAATCCCAGAAAAATTCATATGAGTGAAAATCCCCTGTAAATATTTGTTTTCTTATGCACTTGGTGCTATTTGAATGGTGCTGATTTGCAAGTAGCTACGTCTTTAGTTTGAACTATACAATATCTTAATCAATACAGTAACAGAAATAAAAATACCTCTGAGTCTTTTAATCAGTCTTAAATAAAAGTAGTCTTCAACATGACAAACCTAGGTGTGGCTTTGTCCCTTGCCACTGCACTGTGTGGCACATTTCAAGCTGTTCTGTCTGAAGCATTCTAATGCTAACTAAGTTCACTCAGACAGTAGTCAAATATAATATAAATAATAGAGATTACTTAAACTTCACAAGGACTAAATGAGTGATGGTAACAATGCACAAAAGAAAACGGCACACTACAATTATCATTTCTCAAGTGAACAAGAAAGTTGACTACATAAAACAAACTAAACATTTTTTCAACACTGAACTCATTCTTTACCAGCACAGAAGCATCCTTCTCACCGCATAATTAAATGCCAAGGGAATAAGATATCATTAAGAAAATGAGTAAGAACTTCTCTCACCAGGTCTCATCTCTGTAGAACTGGGGCTTAGTACATCCTCAGCAAAGGGGATGTCCATTCCCACATCCTCTTGTACCAACCTGAGAGGTAAAATACAAAGAAAAATCTTAGAGAGATGCACGGGTTGACCTTGCATACAGCTCATGTGCTCTCATATGGAACTGAAATTTTCCTCACACAGCCAGTACCAGTCTGATCACAAACTGATGTGAGAGAGGAACACAGCTGTTGTAATTCTACTGTGCTGTTCTTACCCCTTATTTATACACACATCTGTAGAGCCTTTGGGAGACTGTAGGTCAACACATAGCCACTTTTACCTGGATCAAGACAGAGCACTGAATAACAACAGGCTGGTAAATAGTAGTGTTTCTCATTTTATACAAATGAAGTTTGTCTTTTGTCATCTGGCAAACCAGACATGTCATTGCAGGGAGCTTCAGCTACTCTTTGCAAACTGCACGCCACCATTATGGGTTCCCTAACAGTATTTTCATTGCTGTACATACAGTTACTGTGCAGCAAAAATGAGGTTAGAAGTGGATTTTTTCATTCTTTTGATATCATGTGTACTTTAGAGCAATTCTGACCCAAATCAGTCATTTTGTAATGCTGAAACAGTTGATGTCCTGCATTGAAACAGTACAGAAAGCACAAAAGCGAGAATCAAAACTACATCACAGATTTTCAAAGACTAAAACGTTGCAAAATATCCCACCTAGACTCCATTTTTAGGAAGATACTAAGAAATTACATTTAACATACCTACATAAGACAAGTAAATAGCATTAAGTGGTGTAAATAATAACAAAGGTGTTTGAATGTTTAAAGCAAATTTTGACTGGTTTTATGTCTATCTACTATTCAAGTATTTTACAAAATGGTTGTAAAAAATGGGAGGATGGTTCAGCTGCAGATAGGAAACAACATTTTACATTTTCAAGACACTCTTGACAGTTTCCAAACTATTTGCACTAAAAATATATGACACAAAAAAAAACCCCTTCTTTTATTTTATCAAAATAATTATAGCATTTTTTTCTATATTCCTGTTCCAAACTTTAATTTTTTTTTCCCCACAGAAGCTGAAGAACAGACAATTTTTACACTTTGATTAACAGAGCTGCGATGAGATCAAAGAAGGTACTTTTCCCTGCCACAGCATCATCTAGCTCTGCTCTGAATGATTCAGCCGAATGGGTCTGAATAGGCTTGGCTTGTCACTCCTGCAGTTTCTTCCTACACTCGCTCTCCCCTTGAGGAATATCCTCATTATTGTACTGTGCGCAGACAAGACTCCTTTGGCCAGTCATTGCATCAGAGTATGAGTATAGTTTCTGTGATTTCTTGTTAATTTCACAGAGATTATATAGAAATGTGTAAATGTAGGCCTGCCTATAAGTGAACCGAAGGCTTCACTGTGCTTAAAGTTGGGAAAGATCTCTACCTCAAGCCCCATGCCGCCAAATTCCCAATACAGACAGGCAAACTAGTGAACTCCCACTTTTCCCGTGAGGCCATAGAGAATACAGACAACATAAAGCTAGAGTCAAACATTCTTGTGCTGCTCAACTTATGACCAGGCCTTGTCTCTCAATAAAGAGAGACACATATTAATCTTGCTAATTTTAATAGGTTTATCCCCACATACTGTAGAGTATATCTTTCACAAAAACAGAGATTAACTGCTTAATGTTTTCTACAAAACACACCAATTCTGGAATAGGTTTAATTACTGTCAAATAAGGGTTGAAATATTCTTTCTCTTTGGATACACAATAGAACATAAAGAAATTTGATCAAAGTATCCTGCTCATGAATAAAATGAATGGCAGAAATTGTCTGTAACGTACCATTTCCCTTTTTTCTGCTCTGTAGCATCATCTGTGTTCAAAGCTGTAGAGAAAACTGCTACACAGTATACCATCACAATTTACTTATAAAATGTAAATAAGTCATTAGAGTCTTTGGCTTTTTTTGCTGCCTGTTCAATTCATAGTAAAATATATGTAATGAAGTCTAATTTATTCATCTGAACATAGCAGAGATGAATGTGAATTCTAATGAAGTGCTGTTTAAGTAACAGCCAGATAAGTTAGGAAACCATAGTGGTGGAAACAGTGGGGGGGGGAGGATGAATACGTCTAAGCCCTTTTAAATTCAGATTAAGATTGGGGGG